TGATAGCAAGGGCTGACATGTTGGAATTGATATTGGTGCTCTGAAGACACTTGTTGAGTCTAACCCAAGGCAACACACTCGTGAAATGGCCCTGACATTGCATGTCTCTCATGAAACAATATGTAATCATCTAAGGAATATGGGGAACTTCATAAAGAAGGTGTTTGGGTGCCTCACGAACTCTCCGATGATCATCGTTTCCAACGTGTGAACGTTGCTTCGTCTCTTCTGGCGCGTAATGCGCGTGAACCATTTTTGGACAGAATTATCACCAGTGATAAAAAATGGATTCTCTATGAATATTAAACGCCAAAAACAAAGGCTCAGTCCTAGACAAAAACCACTTCCGACTCCCAAACCTGGATTCCATCCACAGAAAGTGATGCTTTGCATTTGGTTGGACATCGAAAGAATAATTAATTTCAAATACCTCAATCCACAGCGAAATGTCAATGCAGAGATCTATAGACAGCAACTGGAACATTTAAATCAAGCCCTTCATCAGAAACGCCCTTCACTCATCAATCGGAAAAGTGTTCTTCTTCTCCACGACAATGCATGTCCACATGTGGCACGTTTGGCGCAGCACAAGATTATGGAGTTGGGTTGGGTAGTTCTCCCCCATCCACCATGTTCTCCAGATATGGCACTATCAGATTATTATCTTTTTTCGTTCGCTGCAACATCATCTTAATGTGAAAACGTGTGCAAATGTTGAAGGTGTTAAAGAGGACATCGACATGTTTTTTTGCTTCAAAGGCATTAAAAACCTGATTGTAAGATCAAAAAGCATCATCAATAAGAATGTAGACTATTTCATTCAATAAATGTTTTGTTTTGAAATATAAGTTGTCAGGGTTTTTACATCTAAAAATAAGTGACATTAATTTCCTAACGATCTAATACATTGCAGAATATTTTTTATAACAACTTTTATCAGTTCAATGTTGATGTTTATATGCTTTAAATCATTGCCTCATTACTTCATAGAAACAGCCGTTCGTTTAAAATATCTGTTAATGAATTACACAATTTGTGTCATTTAACAATTGCTATTACTTTACATCATATAACAGTTTACATGCTAAAGCGAAAGCTGGAATATCTTTAATGATAATTCTCCTCAGTACAAATTAGACCTTTCTTTGGACCTGGGGGACAATACGGGAGTTAATCGAAATTTATTAGATGTTCTAGGTTATCTGTTGCCCTCAGACTACTTTCTCTGTTGTCAGTCTTGCTCGGTCTAATGGCCATGATTACTTTGTCAGACTAGGCCATCCTTAGGCGACACGCCTTGACAAACTGCCCACTACACGTTTATGCAAAACAACTGCACAAAATTCCCGAGAGTGCGTAGGCCGGTGGCTTTATTGGCGAAAGGAGTACCATGAATACAACTTTTATTTTCCCATGTCAGGTATAAAACAAAAAGTTGTTATTTTACATTCTTTGAATGATGTTGATGTTGAAATGATCTAATTATCAACTCGTTATCGGTGGCAAATCCTCCCTTTCTTGTCCCAATATTCAACGTACAATATACGTTTTCATACTTAGTATTTCCCTCACTACTGTGTCTGAGAAGCAGCTTGTTTATTCGTTGTTTATACATTCTTACAAGGACAAGACCTTTGTCTATTATTTTGTGCACAGTTCTTCCAGATATGCTCTACTTTCTAGAGTGAACTTTTGTAATGGTAATGTTAATCGTACTTGTTCAGGCTGTTTTACGTTTCATATAATGCGTTGATATTCCCTTGCCATAGTATTCATGTTAAAAATAGTCATTTTTGAAATGGTTTTCTCTCATACTTTGTATCATTCGTATATCGTATGAAAGGGTTATGACACATACTAAAGCCATAAGTCAACTCGTGGCAGCATTGCACTGTTGAACGGTCAGGAATTTGCCATGAAACAAATATATAGGTGCAAATCATTATTAATAAAGATCGTTAACCCTTCGTGTTTAGATAAAATAATATTATCTTATCTAATCATCTAAATAGTAGAGGTAAAACCTGTTTACAAAAACATTAATAAAATAGTTTGCCCCTGAAGAAGAAAGGCCCATCTTTCGAAAGAGCTCGGGTTATAGGCTTTATAGGGTTTTATTATTTTATGACCTTTTGGACCATCTAGGCTGTCCTATCCACTTAATTAAGCTAACACTAAAAAAGTCAATGACAGCCCACATCATTCAAATATTAATAAATTGTTAATAGTAATATTTTCAAAGAGTGTCAAAATATCACAAGGCAAGATTTTTCCTTTGTGAAATCATGTAGGCTATCGTACAAAATTTTAGACTTTGCAAAGCATCTTTTATCAAACTTTCAATAAGTTTCCTACCACTAATGTTAGACTAATAGACTGAGACAATTTTTATCACCTCCCTTGACAATGGAAGTAGCATTAGCCAACAGCCAATCTTGTGGCACCTGCCCACTATTCATGGTCTTAGAAAAAATAATAGCCAGTTGCTCATACATTCAATATTTAACCTCTTTCAAAACCCTTGGGTAAATATCATCTGGCCCAGAAGCTTTATCATCTTTAAACTTTCTAATTTTTGCTTAACAAGCCCAAAATTAATATGATCATTTTGTGCAGTGTTGTTTTCCAACTAGAATTGTTTAGGATGAGTAATATTTTTTAAATCCTCATTAGTAAAAATTAAAAAAGTAGATTTTAATAACACACCTTTCCCATAATCATCATTCCTGTGTTATCCCTCAAAGACCCTAATCCCATCCTAAAAGTTTGTTTACCCTTAATACATTTGAAGAAATGCTTACTATTAACTTTTACATTTTCAGCCAACCTTTATATATATATATATTATTTCCCAATTCATCGTTTGGTCAACTTTCTTGATCTTATACAATCCTTCAAACCTCCAATCATTGTTGCCAATTTCAACTTCTTATTTTTATAATGCTTTTCTTTAATTTTATCCTTTATATCCATTCTAAACCAATCTGTTTTTTACTTGCGGCCACCATTTATGTGAGGAACATGCCTATCTTGAATATTAAAGAATTATTTAAGAGTTTTCAACATTTGATCAGTATCTCCAACTAATTCAGTTGCACAATCCACAACAGATAATTCTTGTCTCATCTCCTCAAAATTTACTTTTTGAAATTTGGAACCAAATTCTCTTTATTCTTTATCTCTATCATTTCTTTATTAGAGGTTAACAATAAATCTAAAGCATTGTTCCTAGTAGGTTCCCTAACCAGTTGTTGAGGAAAACCATCCAGAACAGTTTCTAAGAACTTATCTCTCTCATGATTTGACTTTCCAATAAGTATAACCTCATTAACAGTTGAATTATTTATCTCACTGTAGAGTTTCACGCTAGTTTCATCTGGTGGTTTGTAAAAATTCCAAATAAAAGCCTTCTCCTCTTATGACCACGAACAGAAATCCAACTAGATTCAATCTCATTGCTATTAGCTTTCTTGATAAAAGAGTTAGCACAAAGGATCAAATATAAAGTTTAATAAACTTAAAATAAGACCCAAAACTCGAGTGCTTTGGAATACTTGACTATTCTTCTTCAGGAGAACAAAGGATGACCTTTAGCTTTGATATCCTTGACTTGAACAGTCCGTAACTCACATTTTACATATAAATCCTCACCTTATCACCATTTTTTATTACTCTATCCTTATTAAACAATCTATAACATTGTATTTAAATAAATTCCTGTCATCAAAATTCTCTACATTTAGCCAGGTTTTAGTCTTTCCCATTAAATCCTCTATTCCGACCAATTCTCTTAAATCATCCGTTTTATTTATTATAATTCTTGCATTACAATAATAACAGTTGAGTCTATTATTAAAATTACCTTTGTACATTGTTCCCACACTATACCTTTTCTTACACCTTATTTTTTCTTCATTATTCTGCCCTTTCTACTTTTTAATCTTAGTTTGAAGTTGTCGTTACAGTTGAGTTAATATCCCTTGCAAACAAGACAGTCTCTACCATATTATATTTAAGCCACACATTCA